GCTCCGAGGAGGAGTCCCCCTTAGTGTCCAGGCAGGGAGTCCCTTCAGAACCTGAAAACCAAGGCAGCCCAGTCCTGGTTTTCTAATTCTCTTGTATAAGTGAAAGTCAAAGTGAATTACCTCACTCCTCCATGAGACTCTCCAAACCTGAGAAAGAGGCAAGCAGAACCCATCAGGAGGAGACGATTAAGGTCTGCAAAAATACTGAGCCACCCCCAGCCCAGCTGGCCTCAGGTTAGGTGTGGGTGAACACTGGACCCAACAACCAGCGCTCACCCATCAAATGCTTAGTGAGGGATTACTGTACGGCAAGCTGTTCTGGGTGTGGGAGATGGAGTAGTGAACAAGTTTCTGTCCTCATGAAGCCCCCTGTCTTGAGGAAAAGCAGACAGTAACAAATACAAGATAAAATATATAGTAATTAGAGATGATACAGACAAAAATGAAGCATATTGAGGAGTAGGGAGTTGTAGGGCATGACGTGTGTGTGTGTGTGTGTGTGTGTGTGTGTGTGTGTGTTGAGGAGGATGCAATGTGAAATTTTTTAATTTTATTATTATTATTACTTTTTTTTTTTGGTACCGGGGATTGAACTCAGGACCTTGTGCTTGCAAGGCAAGCGGTGGAACCATTGAGCTAAATCCCCGACTGCAATGTGCAATTTTAGTAGAGTTTATTGAGGGAGACTGCTTTGAGAACAAAATATTATGAGCCCAAACTGGTATGATCTGATTTCATTTCTGGCTTATATTTCAGGGAAAAGCATTCTCAGTAGAGGAAACCAAATGTGCGGTCTCTGAGGCCTAAAATGCTTGAGGAATGAGGAGGAGGCAGGAAGACTAGAATTGGGAAAATAGGAGATGCTGAGTGAGATTTGAGTTTGGAATATGGGGCCAGTGCTGTGGGCCGGGGAAGGCCGCAGCTGTCCACTCGTGACTTTCAGGGAGAGCAGTCATGCTGTCCAGCGTGCTGAGGTGACTTGGTGTGGACCGCACCTTCCAATGGCCCTGCACATGTGTAACTACAGGAGTGGATTGTGAGAAGGTGGACGCTTAGCCGGGTGTTGGTGTACAGCCGATCCCACTGATTCATCCAAGTCTTTTCCTCCTGTTATCTTGGCCACACTGCACGTTATAGTTTTGATTTGTTCAAACCTTTCACATTTCAGTTGTTGATAGCGTTAGGCATTTCTGTGTCACATTAGCAGCTAAAGATCATGCTATCAGTCATTTATCTTCTCAGAACTAATTAATATTCCTAAAAGGTTTACCTTTTTTTTTTTTTTCCTCCACAGGTAATATTCTTACCTACTTTCACCACTGAATTATTTCTAAGTCTGAAGTAGAATGAATTAGAACGTGTAACAATTTGCTTTGATGGCTTCTTGCTCTCTGTACAGATTTTTCTGAATTCTGCCTGGTTGCCAACCTGTTAGTTACCAGGTATTTGAAAAACCAGTTAATTTGGACTAAACTTTACTATAATACAACGAATTGTACTGGGTTTCAAAGAAATTTAGCAATGAAGTGTTTATTCTCCAGAAGATGGCAGGGTAGTTCCACATTTCAAAGTAAAGCTTCTCCTCCAGACAGCTCTTATTCTGGGCAAATTTTGTTGGTTAAGAGCATCCCAGCCTCTAGGTAGCCAGGCATGAACTTTGGGAGTCACTTTTTCCCTCTTTTTTCTCCCTGGCTCTCTAACCACCAGCTTCTAGTTAATTCCGTCTTCATCCGGAGTGTATCTTATTTCCATTTCTAAACCTACTATTATTCCAGCCCCTCCAATGTCTGACTCCTGCTGCTGACTCCTCCAATCTCAGACCTTTCCTCTCCTTCCCACACCTACGCTCTCTTCCGAAGGACATTTCTGAATCATGTGCTCAAAAATCTTCAAAGGCTGACTAGGGACCAAAGAAATAAGTATGTATGATTAGCATAAATTTTACAAAGCCATTAATTCCTTAGTGTGGCATTCAAGACACATGAGAATCAAACTACAACCTCCTCCTTCAATTGTCTCTACCTTCTCGGGCCCCTCACAAAACCACCTTCTCATGAAGTGAGTAGAACTAGGCTTTGCACAGATGTAAATGAAAAGTGCAAAGGGGAGCACCTCCACTTTATGAGAACTTGGCAAAAATCCTAACCCCTGTAAGCCAATTTCCACATATAGATGGGGCTGAGTGATGCCTCTCTGGCTTAGTATAACAAATCAGTGAATGCTATGAATAGCAACATTCTTGGTACACAGCACCACGTGACAAGAGGCACCATTGTTGTTATTTATCAACAAATTACTTAGAGCTTCTCAGACTCCCTTGGGAGCTGTCCAAATTTTCTGTCCTTATCACTCACTGATATTTTATCTCCAAGGTCCAGTTTGTGTCCCCTCCTTTATAATTCTGCTTTAGAGGACCATGGTTTTCTAAGGCTTCTGTGGGCACCCTCTTCCCCCTAAGCCAGGCAACACTAAACTCTCCACTCACCCATGTTTCCTGAGCTCCCTGGACTGGACCAGTTCTATGCCAGGCTCTCTAGGGGACTATAGAGGGACTAGAGGTAGACAAGTCTCTGCCCTGGTGATGTTTTCTGGAAAATAAAAGATATGCTAAAGAAATAAATGTGTGATCAATTTCCAAAGGATGACTACAAAACCCTCAGACCTGAGAAAGGTTCACTAAAGCTGAAATAGAGGCAGGATTAAGTCAGGTCAGTTGGGCCATGGGAGAATATTTCAGAGAATTGTGCTTATCTTTCTATCCTGCTAGGTTTTCATTTGTAAAGACCAAAGATTGAATCTTATTCCCGTTAAGTCTACAAGAGTGACTAAAAGTCCCCTTGCTCCTAGGAACTGATCAAAAATTATTCAGCAAAAAATTATAAAGAAACATAAGAGTACTTTAGTTGCCATCATTAAAATGACAGGGAAATGAACTTTGTTCCCATGTTTGCTGTATTTTTCTTGGGTCCAGGTTACACATTGGGGCCCCAACAAAACATGGTAGTGAAAACCCTCACTAGTTCTGCATGGACCACCTTCCTTTGAGGCTGAGGTCTCACAGATGGCAGGGTGAGGATCACTGGCCCAAGGCCCAAGAACTCTACTGTGTAGGGCTGTGTGAGACTCTTTAGTCCCTATACTGAACTCCTTTTTTTTGGTAAGAGAGTGTCGGATTGGATTAGACATCCCAGCAATCAGCTTCACATGGAGACTATTTCATGGCACTTTGCAGATCTGACTCCATTTCTTCTGATAAAAACCTTTCAGTTAACTCTGAAGAGGATAACTATAGCTCACTAACCATCTGACCCGTATCAAGATAGGGACAGCACAATGGACCCCTAAGTAGCACAGGGGAAAGGCCCTGCTATAACACTTAAAGGTGCATGCTTTATTCAGCATGTGCCAACCTGGGAACAGGAGTCTTTGTCAGTGATTGAGGCTGTGATTAGGCTCAGTGGGCCTGGTGCTTACTGCCCCAGGTGCTGTCTAGAGAAGCTGATCATTCAGGTGTCAGGGGGTGGGGCTAATCCAGCCCTCCTTTCAGTAAGCAGGCCCACTGGTGAGTACTTTGGGGGCCCTGGCCTCTCAAAGGTATGGGTGGGGTTGACTTAACACTAGCTGTTAAGCTCTTCTCTTGAGCAAGACAGCTCAGAACACAGAGGCCTGAGCATCCTGATTTTCCAAGGGTGGGGAGTGAAGAACAAAGTGAACTTTGTCAATTACTGTGATCTTTTTCTTTTCCAGAAACAAAAAAAACACACAGTCAAATATTGGCCAATGGTGGTTTTCATCTTTCCCCTTGAATAGTGAACCCGGAGAAACCAACCACATGTCAGTTTTCATCAGTATGCAAATAGGCAAATAATCTCACATGGAGCTGAGCACTTGTTCCTCACATCTAAAATCTTAGGGGGGCTGAGACAGGGGACTTAGGCCTGGTGGACTTGAGAAGTTTCCTTCGGAGGAACTCAAAAGGCAGGAAATCCATGAAGCTGGAACCTGGCCTTCCAAAGCCAGTTGATCCCAGGAACTGAGTTCCATCAACCAGAGTTGGAAGTTTTTCTCCCTAAATGCTGAAGGCAGGCTAGGAGTCAGTGGCCATGGGCAGGAGGGCACCTCTGTAACCCAGGTAGGAACAGTCTTTTAAAGTGGGAAATGTTGATTGTTCCTGGAGGTCGGGGTAGAGAGGGAGCTAGAGAAGAAAGGTAAGAGGTTGAATCATGATTAAATTAGCAAGGCCTTTTCAAGCCTGCCTTTAAAATGAACACCAGGGAGACAAAAGGGAAATGGGGGAGCATGCAGTACAATTTTTAACTGGAGTACTGTAAAGTATCCTCATGCAAAGGGCTGCCTGATGGTAAGGGTGAGGAGAAAACCATCATGTAGATTACAGGGTGTGAAATGGGACCTCAGCTGCAGGCTGGAGTGTGACCGAGGTCTAGAAGGATGCAAAGGGCAGTGGCCACCTGAAGAGCACGATGTGGTTAGGTGCTGCAGAAAGGACACAAGCCACTCCTTCTTGGAGTCATACACTGAAGCTATGCAAAGCTGGCCTGCTGAACTGATACACAGATACTTGGAAATTAGAGGATGAGCACAAAGATGGAGATGGCTTCTACAGACAGTAACTTGCAGTGTTTTTAAACTAGGTGACATCTGCCAGAATATATAAAGCTCATGACTGAGGTCTCATTAATTCTTGACGAAAGATCAGTGCAGAGTGTACTTTTTTATTTGTGACCATTTTTGTCTGAAGCAGCCAGCAGCAGGGGCATGTGAGAGATGGAGCAGCCTCTGACATCACAGGGGATGGGCAGCCAAGCCAGGGCACCATCTGCTGTGAGATCGCACCCCTCTGAGCTGTGTTAAAGCAACAACATTGCCAGGGACACTTCTTTCCTGTCACATCCCAGTGATGACAATGATAGGACAGGCTGCAGATGGAGCAGGTCAGGTGCTTATGTGCCAAACAACACACACAAAAATGCTATTGTAGCTATATTGTTACTGTATCTTCATACACACCCCTTTAGGGATAATGTAAAACTTTATTAGTTTTAAAATACATCTTTTTTGATCCAATAATATTCTTTTAACCCACTAAAGATAGTTTATTATTAAATGGTTAATCTGGTTCCCTTCAGACAAAGATAATGACTCAAATGTGAACTTGTTCAGTTCTGTTGAAGTGTAATCCGAGTTGGCTGTGTGAACTGAGTGACTCCAATTCTGTCACTCTGAGAGTGAAGAAAAGCAAAATTCTGTTCATCTAACAACATTTTTTAAAATAACATGGACACATAATTTTTAAAAAATTTACCACCTGTCATAATCACATAAATTACACCATTTTAAACAATGCTACAAAGAACTTGACCATTGTTAGTTAATATAAATAAAATACATAATCAAGTTATTACAAGCCAAGATTTTTTACATCAGTTTGTGCTTTTAAAACTACTGCTAGTTTTTTCTGGGAAAAGCCAAAATAACCATAAATTATAGGAAAAGAAGAGTTTTCACTTTTTTGACACAAAAATATACATCAACACTGGAAGAGGCAAGAGAACATTTAACAATCATCTTTAAATTTCTCTGGAACAAAAAAATCTATCCAATGGAATACATTTCCATGGTAATTGCTACTTTTATGTTTTTATAAGTGCACAAGAGCTATTTTTTCTTGGTCAGTAACCACAGCAAACACTCGACATCTAGGAATAGGTGTATGTACACATATATTTACACACATATGTAATTAAGAGCATCTCCAGAAACTAGGACAGTTCCACACACTTATTCAGTGTCTCAGAATTCCACTCAGGTCCCCATTAGTGAGCCTTAAGTAATGTCAATGTTCTGCATAAATAGAGTAGAAATGCAAACTTTTCGTACTACTAGGATCCCTCTTGATACATTTACAAGAAGATTTTAAGTGGATGTGATATAATTAGCTCATAAGAAAAGTGCCTGTCCTTCAACCAAATTCCCTCCTCAGTATATATAGATGTAACTGTAATTTGCTTCGGGAATTCAATGTTCAGTTACACTGGCTACAGATGAACAATGACTCATTGCTTTTTCTACGTAGAGGTAGCATCTACAGAGACACAAAATTCCCTGTGAAGAAAATATGTTGTTTTATGTGAATTCATTATTTGCCATGTGGGGATCCAGCTGGACACTCAGCTCTCACAAGTGGTTCATCAGATTGGTCAGATTACATGACAGTTTTGATCCTTCCCAGATAAAGTGATTAATTATTCATGCATCATCAACCTGGGAAGGTCTGTATCAAGAGGGCACAGAACAAGGGGGTATAACTGAAATGATTTACATCCTTATTAATGTGTTACAAACTGTTAAGTCCTCAGTAAATCAAAAATTTTTGTAATTTATAGTTAGTATTTTCTTGGTGATTGGTTTTAAGTTTCTGTTTGGGCTCTCATGCCAAGTGCATTCTATTTGCATAACTTCTATCCTTGTTTAGTTAGAGTTTTTTTTTAATGTTCTCACTCAGTTTTGTACATAATTGAGGTTTTAAGTATGGAGTTTATGTCTTTGAAACAGGAATCATAAATCTGAAATAAGATTGAGAGGGAAGGAGTTGAGCATTCTAGGTTAGGAACCAGCAAAGCTACCACTGGCATGGTTTGCCATCTACTGGATAGGTGAGTAGGAACACTTCTCTCACGTTGCCATTAATGGAATGAAGCCTGGTGTATAAATTCATCTGTGGAGAAGACTACAATGACTGAATTTTAAATCTCAGTACAGATCTAGGGTATGGGATAATTACTTGCCATTAGGTAATTTCAGTGAAAGCATTATTTAAAATAGCAGATTGCAGAACAGAAAACATCGGTACAATGGCAGGAGATGAGTTAATTCATGAAAGTCCTGAATACCATCCAGAGAAGTTTGTATTTTTTCTAGAAGACACATAATTTTCTGAAATATATTACTCAGGGCACTTGTGCTAGAGTATGTCAATATATCCAAGGGCAAGCTCAGTAAAATTAACTTCTAGGTTCACTTAAAATAGACCTTAAATATGCAAATATGCATTATGATTCTCTATATTGTTTTTCTCTAATTAAACAATATAACACAGATGTTTGGATCATGAAATACAACAAAATGTTCCACCTTGGCTCTTTTAGATCAGCTAACTCTAATATTTTGTGCACACTCAAAACTCCAGCTTATTCATGGTCTTTTATCATTCATATCCAATACACATGTCTCAGGGAACAAATGGATGAATGAAATATCTGAACAACCCTCAGTTTCCTCACTATACAATGGAAAAAAGCATCCACTTTTTTTTTTTTTTTTTTTTGGTACCGGGGATTAAACTTGGGTCCTTGTGCTTGCATGTCAGGCTGCGAACCACTGAGCTAAATCTCCGGCCCCAGCATCCACTTTTTAAAGGATTGAAGAATTGCAGAAAAGTAAGCACAAACTATTTTGCAACCTAGAACTATTTCTTACTCCAATCAAGTTGAGATAGATTTATAAATTTTAAAAAGCATAAAAATATGTAAGGGGTCATTCTCAATTATCAAGCAATGTGGCCTTTGCTTAACCTTGCTGAGACTCATTGGTAAAGAAGATAATCACATTTAACCTTGAAAGACTCTTGTAACCTTCCTAATATAATGACTGAAACCGAGTGGTGGGAATATAACCTACAGATACCAGCCCAGGTTGGAGCCAGACTATGTGGGATTGAATCTCAGATCTGCCTCCAACTGTGTGATGCTCACTACTTAGGCAATTTAGTTAATTTTTTCTGCCTCAATTTTCCTCATTTACAAAATGGGAAGATAAGTACACTTATCTCAAAGAGCTGTGGGGAAGATTACAAATAAAACAATAAATGTTAGATATTAAGAAAAGGTAGCTGTAAGTATTACTTCAAATTTTCTATGTAATAGGAAAGAAAAGCTGATGCCTGTCCTAATTCATTCTTCCTGCACTGCAGCTGCACAGCCAGGTGCTGGTCCCTGTTTCAGCCTTCCTCCTAAATAAAGTGCACTCAATTCATCATGGGGTAAGTACCCCACCAAGTTCATCTATGGAGTAGACTTTTTGTTCTCCTCCAATCCCAAATTTTAAAAAAATGCACCAGTGCTTATTTGTTTTGTGGTCAATAATGTGTAAGTGGATTAAATGTTTCCCAGTTACAAGAACATCTTTGCTGAGACTATAATGTTAAGTGAAGTAACTCAGACACACAAGCTTAAATATTGCATGGATTCTCTTATAAGAAAAACTCTCTCTAGGGCCGGAGATTTAGCTCAGTGGTGCTGCCCGCCTGCCTGGCAAGCATAAGGTCCTGAGTTTGATCCCCAGTACCAAAAAACAACAAACAAACAAACAAACAAAAACCTTTATATATGACAGATAATAGAAAAAAATAAAGAACAAAAGGTATTGCAATCCAGTGTGGACAATGTATCTAAAGGTGTACCTTGACTTAGTACAATTGTCTCACATTTTATTTGTTCTTTCGCCTATTACTTTGGTTTTCAATCTGCATACATGTTAATTTACTTTATAAGCTCTCATGAGATAAATAAATGAAACTGATGCTGGAAAAATAAAAGGAGTGGAGGGAGTGGGGAAAAATAAGGGAACTGAAATGTGTTATGTGCTTGTACCAATCCCTTACAGTAAATGTAATCATTACATACTGCAAACATGTACTATAAAAAAAAAAAAGAACACCTTTGACTCGGATAATAATTTTTTTCCACCAAGAAAATCTTTTATACTCATAGCTTAATGTCATAATTTGGGAACTGGACACTAAATTAAATTTTAATTTATACTCCACTTCTATGCCTGTGTTCACCGTTCCTCTAGTGCAAAATGCGCACTGATATTTCACTGATGGAAAAAAGAGCCTCAAATATATGATATGTGTTTCTATTTCAGTTAATTTTTCAGTAGACAAATAAAACAAAAATTGGGTTTTCATCTAGGATTACAGTGGTCCCCAAAGTAAATAGGCTTTTTATTTATTTTTTTCTCCTTAAGGAGCTAAGAGCATATTCCTAGGTCAAGTTACTTCTGCTTCTCTTAAGTCTCTATTTCTATCTGAATTATATTTATGTCTCAGAACCTATGGATTTAAAGAGACCCATGGTTAAATCTAAATAGATGCAGTTGCCACACAACGCCTAATCCATTCATTTTTCTATAAAGTAGCAGAAATTCAGTCTTCAAGTAACATAAGTTAATTTGGCTTAAGTCACTAATACAACTGATACAGTTTTAAGTCTCTTTCAGTAAAATAAATGCCTAGATATTACTTTTAAAAATCTAACGGAAAATCCTAGTCATACCTCACCAAAGCCCCAAATCCAGCACATTACCAATGTATTCGTCCTTCGAGTCAAAATAAAACAGTGCTTGAATTAGACTCTCTTCAATTCAGAAGAAAAGCATAACCAACCATAGATTTTAAAATGATCAGTTAAGCCTGGTGTTCTCTTAAGTGGGTATTCATGCTTCTAATACTTTTGGAAATAAGTTCCACCAGAGTACTCAGAACAACTCCTCAGATGCATGTACTGCACTCCCTACATGCTAACAGTGCTTTTATTCTATTTATTTCATTTCTTTATTTTTCACACAGTGCTGGGAATCAATGCCTGCTAGGTACATACTCTACCACTGATTCTGAGCAGTAATGAAAAACTTGTTATTTACAGTACTTATCCTGAAGGAAGTTTGCTTATAATTTAGAAAAGTCCCCACAACTTTTATGTTTCTCTCCATTGTCTCCCACTTTTCTGAAGACTTTAAGTAGAAGCAAGGTATTTTTGGCAACAAAATACCCCATCCCATGGGTCAATAAACTGTAATAGCTGAGCAATGGAATAAGTTTCCTTTTATAAATTATTACCTGGGAACCAGAAATTATCATATTACTTTATAAAAATACTCTATTTAAAGGTATATTTAAGAGTAGAATCTTTTAAAATCAATCTATAATACTGAAAACAAATATACATATATTCTTAGAAGAATTTCCTTGTTATGGGGAATAAAATCTAAACTGTACTGAAGTGCATTTTCTATTGATTTTTCAGATCATTTTATTAACATTTAAATACAAATATGTCAAATGCTAAACTCTGTGCTTACCCAAAGATTACAAAGATGATCAATTCTTAGTCTCTAAACCAAAGCATACATAGATTTTAAAATATAATAAAATTGGATGCTAATTTAGGTAACTAATCTAGCATTTTGCTTTCAATGCTAATGAAAAGATCATAGTTCATTTTTTGGAGAAGCTGAAAAAAATGATCCAATTAATCACAACCTTTCTTTTTTCTCTGCAATGATACACCAGTTGCCATGATCATTTCCGGAGCTCAGAATATGGAGCTCTGACACATTCTCCTGCAGGAGATCACACAGCTCGCCTTCTCGAAATACATGGTAGTAGCGCATGAAGGCTCTTGAATCCAAAATTCTGGGCTGTTGTTCGTCAACAGAAATTGTATCATCTGGGTTGGAATCTGTGGAACTGACTGCAGAAATTCTTCTCAGTATTTTACTGTCAGAAGGGTAGCCATTCTTTAAGTCACTGGCATCTACACAGTTCTCACCAGTATTAGTGCTAGGCGGAAAAATCTCCCCTCCATTTCTTCTATTTTCTTCTTGGTCTCCATTGAAATGCTTCGAAGTACCTGGTGCTCTCAACCACTCCAAATGTTTCTGAGAAGTTTCCAGAAACACTTCCTCATCTAAGTTTGGCTCTTTTGTTGAAAATGGCTCTTGGTGCTCGAAGTCTTGGTGTCTGGAAGGCTGGACTGATACTGTGTTATTGGCCCAACCTTCTGTGTTTCTCAAGGGTCTCACTTTTTCAATTTGCTTCCTCAGAGTGGATTCATCCAAAGATCTGGAGAAAAACCAGGAACGAAAAGATTTTCCTAAAGTGTTATAAAATCTGTTTTCTTCTTCACCTTCCTTCAGAATACTTCCACAACAGGTTCTAGTCATGACAGGTTCATAGTCTAAGCTATGGGACCGTTTTGAATCACATCGTTCTTTAAAACAAACAGAACAGCTACATTCAGAGGAAGGAAGATGATAGGAATGGCTTGTTTCTGGATGTCCACACTGCCTCTTCCTCCCAGACTGGCTGGATTCTGAGAAGAGCTGGGAACATAAGGCTCTATTCCATGGAACAAGAACATCTTGCTTCTCAAAGCAGCGCTTCTTTTGTTCCATTGCCCAAACATAAATCATCAGTTGGCCTCCAGGAACTAAGACCCTGGCCATTTCTTTTATTGCTCTGATTCTTCTTTGTTTTGTAGAAAAATGATGTATGACTGAAAAAGAAATTACATCTCAAGGTGTATATACATACACACAAACATACAACATGCTAGCACTTCTGTATAACAAAAATGACATCTTGACATAGAGTGAAACCTCCTTATTTCTGTATGGCTGGGCAGATGGAAGAAATAGCATGGGCTTAGTTTTAGAAGAAATGTACTTTTCTGTCTTTAGTTCCTATACTTAATAGAGAGCTGATCTTGGGCAGTTATTTAAGTTCTATAGATTTTTAACATTCCTCCACTATAATAAGAAACCTAAAATGGGTAATCTGTGAGGTCTCTTCCAGTTCCAAAATCCTGTGAATTCTGTTCACCAGAAAGATAACAAGTGTGAATTACTAAAATTTTAAATGAAAACTAAGTTAGGCAAATGTTAGGATTCTATGAAATTACTAATTGCTTTAATGAATAATTGATATTTTTATAGCCATGAAAGATTAACACAACTAATCAGTAGTGTTAACAAATAAAGCAAAAGAGAGAAAATATTAAAAGATTATTTTAAAATTTAGTTAGATAATGCTAAGCTAAACTAGCCCAGTACAAATCCAAACGATTAGCATTTTTAAAAAAGGTTAATGTAATAAATGTATATATTTAAAAAATTAAATTTATAGGTCATCATTTTACTTACACTCCATGCAAAGTCAAAGTGAGATTTAAGGAAGCTAAGAAGTGTATCATTAGGCATATTTTTAAAATTCTTTTATTGGTACATTTTAGGTATACAACACAATTACATTTCTCATTGGGAATTGTGCCTTTACATAATGCATCTTGGTTCTTATTTTTTCCCCATTCCTAGCCCTCCCTTCAAGCCCTCCACCCTTCCCTATTTACAAAGACTTTATTTCCATTTTTCGCATTTCTCATCATTTTTTCTTTCCCTTCTTTCCTTTCCCCTGCCCCTCCCACTACCCCTACCCCTTTGGAACTTTTCTTCCTATTTTGCATTATCGATTATTCATTCTAATCATTGGTACATTTTAGGTATACAATATAATGACATTCATCATTGGAAATTTGCACCTTTACATAATCTCTCTTGGTTCTCATTTTTCACCCTTGCCCAGCCCTCCCTTCAACCCCTCCATTCTTCCCTATTTACAAAGATTTTGTTCCTATTTTTCCATTTTCTCATATTAATCATTAGGCATATTTTTAAATCTAATAATATATAAAGTGCTAGTCTCTTAGTTTCTGGGGGAGTTTAATCACAGTACTGTGTTAAGAGACAACATCAAGTTATTTTTCCAAACATAAAGCTACTACATATTTCATGGATGACATTGTTTCCAAACAAAGCTGGAGACTCTAGCTCTGATGTGAGCAGTGAGGGCAAATAGCACTGAAACTGTTTTTACATAATCTGGCTGTTAGCAGTAATTTCAGGCAAATTAACTTCTACAGTTTATCTGCCATGGAGAAATATTAAACATGTAAAATGAGAATCTCACATAGATAACTCTGTCAAAAGAAGATCACTCAACTAGTACACCCTATATTGTTAGCCATGAGGGTTTCATTCCTTTCAACAGCACCCTGGTATCTTCACATGCAGCAGGGTGAGAAAGCTGGAGTTGTGAGGATAAAATGTGTCTGAAGAACAGGAGATCAACATATTTCATCCTAGATCTATCTGTAACTAGCCTTGTGATCTTTGATCAATTATCACATCTTGGTTTGTGCCTCAGACTACTCTCAGCCTCCAAAGAAAGCTCTTAATAACAGTTCTTGTGAAAGCATACATTTCAGAAAGTAGTGCCTTGGTGCCTGAGTTAAAAGGAGGCATAGGGGTCATGAAGAGAGACTCAATACAACTCAGATGTTTGAATCTATCTCTATTTAGGGCTGAAATATCTCCCATAGCTTATACCTATAACCTGTACTCTCATAATTTGCATTCCCATAACTTGTACTCTAAAATTTCTCCGCAATTCTCTAAATAAAATATGTTCTCATTATTCATGGATTCTGTATTTGCAAATTTGCCCACGTGCTAACATTTATTTGTTACCTCAAAAATTAACCAGGCTTTCTTGGTCACTCAGCAGTATGCACAGAGGCAATTTGAGCCCCAAGATACATGTTTCCAGCTGAATCAGAACAAAGCGATCTCTTCCTTCTTAGTTCAATTCTAACCCTGTAAACAAGTCTGCTATTCATGGTCTATTTTCAGTGCCACATTTCTTGCATGTTTGTGAACTTTGGTGGTGATTTCATACAGCTCCAACTTGTTGTCTGGAGCTCCTCAGAAAAGAAGACTATGGTGGGCCTTACAGAGAAAACACATGAACTACCTAAACTGCCTTCAGGCATGAGTGTAAAATTAAAGCATCTCTAAACAGAAGCACATATAAAACAAGGTTATGTATTCATCAGTTGACAAAAATGTTATGGCAGTGGCTTACAGGAACCTAATCTTGTGTGCCTTCTGGGATCTTGTATTCCATTTTTCTGGCTAACTCAGTGTTTACAGAAACTTTGTAAAACACTACTCCCATGAATAATAATATTTACTGTATTTATTCTGGAGAGACATAAAAAATTAAAACAGGGCTATTTTAATGCAATAATCTCTTTTTTGTAGACTGATAGGTCTTCAACACTTTAGGATTTTACTGGGCTTCAAAAGAGGTCTGTTTTTAAAATTTTTTTAAGGAAGAAAGTCTTTATCGACTTATTGATGAAAAAATCCTAATTCACTCCTAATCATAATTTCACCCAGGAAAATCTAAATTTTTGTGTTATATTTTAAATTTAGATTTAACTTGCAATAAGGAACACCCTTTAAGTCAAATATTTTGTAGGGAAAAAGCTTACAAATGAAGATTTATTAAACAAAAATGTGTTTTACACATACACACATATATGTTCCATTGAGAACATGGTAAGTGTAACTGTGAGAGGACATAAGAACATGTTCATCCAAAGTTTCTATGTGGGTAAAGGGTGAATTTCTGAAAGATGAAAAAGGAGTTTTGTTTATAAATCCTAATCACAACTTAAAGGCACAAATAGTACTCCATACATGTATCCTATAGCAATATTTTCCTGCTGAGAGCACAGAAAATAGGTAGGTTGAATTAGATTACTGAATTCCAGAATCAGGTGGGAAATCACACAAGATCATCTTATTATTTTATGATTTATTGTTATTTAATTTGTATCATCTATCTAACCATGAAAAATTTATGGTCTTAGCTTAAAACTTGCTATATTCAACTAGATTAATTTCTAAAAGTGCACTGGAACAAGTAATTGGCTTTGAGAAAGATTTTTCTATCACAAAACAGCTTGTCATAGAATTCCTTTAAACACAGTTTCCTAGCGACTAACATTATTAGGTATCAGGAACACATGAATTAAGTAAAGTGAGCCTTACCTGAATATTTCAGGCATGAATATTTTTGGGGTTTTTTTCTTTTTTTTTGGCATGTGTACGTTTCTGTGTACACCTGGAAAATTATGAGGGATAAATTCCCTAGACTCCTGCACAATCTCTGGTATTAAAGAGCAGAACAACATTATAAAACCAGTACAATCTGGCACCAGCTGGGATCCATTTCTTCAGGAACTTGAGTGATAGTGAATGGCACACTGGTCAGGGTGACATTCAGTGCATTAGTCCCAGATTATTCATTAATACAGAGCCCTCATTGTGGCATGATAGAGGTAATATAGTGCCTGGCAATCTTCACTCTAGGGGAACATGGTTTCATTTTAATATAACAAAGTACTATTTTCGATGAGTAAGATTCTTCTAGTACTTTCTTACTCATAAGTAAAAGAAACAGGAATAAATTATCAAAAAGAATACAATAGCAAAGTTTGATGCCTTAAACAGTAAAAACAATTATATGTGCCATAAGTGCATTAGAGCTTAGTCAAATAGCTCAAGTAGTTGAAATATTTTTTTTAATTAACTAAAAATGAACACACAGAAGTCTCTACACAGAACGGAGGTTGGGTCATAAATGTGACCTCAGCCACATACAGTTTTCTCATGGCAAGTGTGAACATGTGACGGCTGCCTTACCTCCTATGGAGATGATGGCATCGAAGCCCTGATCCCTAAAGGGGAGATGAAGGTTGTCACATACCATGACTTCACACCCTCTATTCCAGGCAATCTCTACCAATGGCCCACAGTAGTCACAGCCCAGGATATGGATCTGGCTGTTCACTTTAAGATACTTTCCAGTTCCACAACCTATAAGAAAAAAACTTGTGTTACATGCTCTTCTTAAAGGAAAATGCAAGGTAATTTGCTTTATAACAATCGATATAAACTTTATACAAATTACCAAGGTAGAATATAAATATAAAGGTATTCACAAAGGCAAAAGAAAATCTTTCAGAGAGTACTTACATACTTTCATAGAGAAGAAAGGAATGGAATGAAGAAATAATATTAATTGACTATTCATTAAGGTAATGTCCATAAGCCAAAGCAAACTAGCACAGCCCAAACACTGCTGGCCCATCACTGGGAATAACAGCTCCAGCATCCTAGAACTAGGGGCAGATTGTGCAGTTTATCTTCCCATACACATTTCACTTATGTATGTACAGTGTATATTATGACATACATTCTCTTGGTGTCTCTACAATGGTCTTACTACTCTCTATGTTAAAGAAACTACTGCCAACAACTTTTCAATGGCTGTGAAAAACTTATATAACAAAATATGCTACCCAAATTTTACAAATCAGAATGAAAAAATTTTAACATCTTTTCTTCTAATCTATTGACAGCAACAGGTTGTAAATAATGTCTGTTGACTTCAAATACAATTCTATTGACTCTGAATACAGCTCAAATAACTTTTAAAAAATTGACCATTTTTGACATTCATTTTCTAGGGGCAGAAACCCAAATAATTCAAGATTTATGAACCCAGAGATACAGGTCAATTAAGTTTTACTGATATAAAGAAAATAGGAACATGAACAAATCATTTTGAAACAATACTTTCTATAAGAGACAGAAACTTAAAGTGCTCCATTTTCAAGACAAAGTAGTTAACTCTGAGTGGAACATTACTAGCAGTCAAAATTGCTTGATGTCCCAGAGAAATGATAATGTTCATACATCTAGAAAGTCCCTAAGCAAACAAGACCTTGGGGGAGAAATATACTAGTAAGAAAGTCTTTATTGAGAAATGTGGGCAAGAGTGGAGGAGGGAGAAAAGGAATACTTTATTAGGGGCAGGGGAATGGGGAAAAAATAAGAACCAAGAGAGATTAAGTAAAGGTGCAAATTCCCAATGATGAATGTCATTATACTGTATACCTAAAATGTACGAATAAACCTAATTTTTTAAAAAAGAATACTCTATTAGGAAATAATGAAACTTAGGAAATGTCTGAGAAGATTGTACACCCCATAATTCTTAGCCAATGAGAAACCAGGGGAGGGACCTAAGTGCTAGGAGGATAAACTGCTTGCTGTAACTGCCCCAGGTGTGCCTTTATACCAGACACCCAATCTTGCAAGGTTGATATAGACTCACTTTCACTGTGCTCATGTTTCCAAGTTTGGGGTCGGGCAAGTGAGAGTACTTCTTACATGTCCTATATCCAGTACCTGGTATCATATTTTTGTTGTTTGTTTGTATTGCCCAGGCTGCTCTGGAACTCCTGGGCTCAAGTAATTCTCTCACCTCAGCCTCTGAGTAGTTGGGATACAGGCAAACACCACTGTAGCTGGCTCCTAGTATTATAGTCTAACATAGACATATAATCTATTTCCTTCTAGAAATATTTTTTAAAAATCATTAGAGTTGATGTTTGTACCTATTGGCATTACTTGCAGATCTTTCTGCCTCGAGGAAAAAACCCTACCAGTATTCAAAAACAATTACAATTTTTGCTGCTTCTGAAATACATGATGGTATTCTTTTAATAACTCCTCTTTGGCAGGGATTTTCCAAAATTATGAGACAATAAAAACAAAATTAAGGTATACTGATGCCAGTTGAAAGTGGATGAGTATGAATAAGAAATAAAGCATGACTGAGGTCTTAGAAACATTTTATATCTCATAGCCACTGTTCCTAATGCTTATGAGAAAAAGCATCCACTATTTGAGAGAAATAATGGGAAAAATAATTCAAAATGTATTTTTAAATTGAAATCCTGTATATTTCAAGGATGATAGTCATACTTTAAGATAAATAACCTTGCAAACTCATTTGGCATGAGAGATATAGTTGGAGAAATCAAAGGGGAAATTACTAGTAAAAACAGATTCATAAACCATTATGGCTAAAAGGAACTATAAAGAAAGCATTTAGTAATAACGAAGAAATTGAGGTCTCTTCAAATTGAAACAGTGTTTGACACACTTTCAGGGTCCTGGCACCCTTGGTATATCTGGCGTTCATGCTGAAGGGTAGCAGTGGCACTCCTGAACATGATGCATAAATTATCCATTTTATAAGTGCATGCACCAAGATGCTAGCAAGGGGAAGATTTTATCCTAATGAGGAAATCAAGAATACTGCTAAGCTGAATTGTCATTATCTTAAGTGTAAACCAGAACTTAAATGATACAGTGGGAAGCTCCAGCCCAGGACAATTATGCTCCTTTACAAAATCTCATTAAATGATAACCTTGAGTAGTACTAAAGAGAAACTGTCTGCATCCTTTCATTTGCTTTGATTTTGTATTCTACACTGCACTATGGCTAAGGTAAAAAGATAATTGCTCAACTCAACAAAATGTTTTGGTGGGTGATGGGAAAGTATTTGCTGAAAATAAGTCATATGAACACTCTCTCTGAAATCTATAGAAATGACTACATTTTTAAAATTAAAATTTATTAGTATCTTAGCTAGGATCTTATGTGAATGAGAATTCCTTTTTCCTATAGGAAAAAAAGGCAAATATTATATGAATTTTTATATACATTTCTTGAGTTGAGAGAGAGGATTTTTTTTTTCTGTATGCATGATACCTACCACATAGTGGGTGTTCTAAAGTTTTATTGCTGCAGTAAAGAAGTGATCATTAGAGAATGATTTTAGTTGGGGATTGTGATACCCCCTGCCATGTCTCTGTTGCTTAGAATTGCTTTAGCTATTCTAGGTCTCTTATGGTTCCAAATGAATTTTTGGATTGTTTTCTCTAGTCTGTGAACTATATTGTTGGAATTTCAATTGGTATTGCATTAAATCTATA